GTGGTGTAGAGGTTAAGGTGTTTAACTCCCACATGGCAGACTGTGGTTCGAGTCCTGGATCCAGTGGCTTACCTGCACCAGCATATGGGCATGCATGCCCAAAATTCCAAGAGGAGGATGGTGGAGAAGGGACTGCAGTGTGGCCATCCCCCCGGCCCCCGCCCCAGGCAGGGGGTGTTCCTCACTTTCCCTTTCACTGTCTCTGTCCCTCTGGCAAACTCACGCACCCTATGGCAAAAATCTTAGCAATAAATGATAAATAAAATGATATTTTTTAAAAAAATCACTCTTCACAGATGCACCCTATGGCAAAAACCTTAAAAAGAAATAAAGAAATAAGATGATGTTTAAAAAAATCACTCTTCACAGAACGCACCCTACGGCAAAAACATTAAAAATAAAGAAAGAAATAAGATGATGTTTCAAAATATCAGTCTCCATAGACAGAAAGTTGCTTATAATGATTTTTGCCTGCTTGCAGAATCTAATCCATGTACATTGGGTCACAGACTTAAAAAAAAAAAAAAAAGGAAATCTATAAGCTTATTTTCTCACCTTTAGTGGTTTTTCATGGCTTTCAAATTCAATAAGAGGTTTCTTCAGGCAACATTTCACTGGATCGTGGGGCCTAATCAAGCCTTTCTCTGTACTCGGTCAATCTCTAGAGGGGCCAAAGTCTGCCTGTGGTCCCACAGAGAGAACAAACAACCCTCAGGCCTCCCAGGTCTGACAAACAGGAGAGGGGAGGCCCAGGGACCACAGGAAGAGCTAAGGAACTTTCTCCAAATTACACAACGGGTTGCTGCTGGGGGGCCTCGGGTGCTCGGTCCAAGGACGATCACTTTTCTATGACATCTCATTCCACCGGGACCCATGAATAAACACTCTCCTCCAGGGAACTGAGGGAGAGGGAAAAAAGAAAGAGCCCAGAGAACTTTACTCGTCATTCTTTGCATGTACAGTGCACAAAGGGTTTACCAAGTGGTCACAGACTTAAAAAAAAAAAAAAAGGAAATCTATAAGCTTATTTTCTCACCTTTAGTGGTTTTTCATGGCTTTCAAATTCAATAAGAGGTTTCTTCAGGCAACATTTCACTGGATCGTGGGGCCTAATCAAGCCTTTCTCTGTACTCGGTCAATCTCTAGAGGGGCCAAAGTCTGCCTGTGGTCCCACAGAGAGAACAAACAACCCTCAGGCCTCCCAGGTCTGACAAACAGGAGAGGGGAGGCCCAGGGACCACAGGAAGAGCTAAGGAACTTTCTCCAAATTACACAACGGGTTGCTGCTGGGGGGCCTCGGGTGCTCGGTCCAAGGACGATCACTTTTCTATGACATCTCATTCCACCGGGACCCATGAATAAACACTCTCCTCCAGGGAACTGAGGGAGAGGGAAAAAAGAAAGAGCCCAGAGAACTTTACTCGTCATTCTTTGCATGTACAGTGCACAAAGGGTTTACCAAGTTCCCCTCCAACAGGAAACCGTTTGTCTTGGAGCGCCAGGAAGAGGAGGAGGGAAGTGCTGAATCGGCAACAGGGCGCTGCGACCCAGCCCAGTGTTTGTGTGGAAGCGATTTTTCCCCGATCCAAACACAGTTGCCTGAATGGACTCAGTCCACTTAAGGGGGAAAAGAAAGTTGTTTAAAGCCCTATAAATGGGGACCACACAACCCTGATTCACTTCTAAAGTTCTTTCTCCTCTTTCTTTTTTAGAAAGTAGCTAAAAATAAAGGCTTGAAAGAGGGAAATAATGTAAGCAAGTAATCACACACGCACACGCATGCACACACACTCACACACCCACCCACACACACACACACACACACACACACTGGGCTTTGCCCATATATGGCTGTGTTATTCTTCAGTCTTTGAAAAGGGCCAAATGAAGAGATGGTCAACAACCAAAATAATCCTTCAGACAGTGGGAAACAAGGAGAAAGAACCAGAAGAGTCGGTGAATGACGGGCCGGACCTTGGGGTGGCTCAATGGGGATGAATAAGACGGAGAGGGATTAGTTGCCATAGTACTCTGAAAACAGGGGCGCATGCATTTTGACGCTGGCTCCCTTTCTCTATAAAGACACTGTTCTGGCCCCTGGCCTCGGCACTGAGAAAACTACAACGGCGGTAATTTAACATACAGGACTTGAAAGGGGGAAACCAGTGCAGGGGCATGAGCGGAAACTGAACGAAGGCCCTTCTCTGTATAAACTCTGTAGAGGCTGCGGAAGCACATCCTGAGGTCAGGACAAAGGGCGGGAGGCCCTGAGAGATCCGTGTGCAATACAAGAGCATCTATGGCAGAGGTCGGCCCGGAAGTCAGCTTGCTCTTGATGGACAGCTGGCACCGTATCTGTCAGGTCCCACTGGAAATGTGTCCATAGATAAGATGGTCACATGTGTCATGTTCTATAAGGGGACTTTAAAAAGTTCACAGAAAATGGGGAGCAGCAGTTGGCATAATGGCTATGTCGTTGGACTCCCATGTAGTCATCTGCAGTTCAAATCCTGGACCCGGCGGCTTAAACTCAAGCCGGGCGCGTGTGCATATGTGCTCAAGATCCTGAGAGGAGAATGGAGGAGAAGGGATTGCAGCGTGGCCATCCCCCCGGGGAGTGATTTCTCACTTTCTGTCTCTCTGTCTCTCTCTGTCTTTCTGGTGAGTGCACATACCCTATAACAAAAACCTCTCCAAAAAAAAAAAAAAAAAGAAAAGGAAAAAAAAAAAAGTTCACAGAAAATGGAATTAAGTATGAGTTCATTTTGGTGCCCAAACCCTTGACCTCCATGCATAGCTGTTTCCGAAGCTGTGCATGAGCTTTCCAAAGCCCCCTTGTGTGACAGGTGGCTTCGTGTGAGAGGGCTGTGACAAAGGCAGTTGCAAGTTCAGTGTCCCACCCTGGGGGCCGTGGCTCTCTCTACGCGCAGAACCTCTGAAAGAACACTGCTCACAGGGCCGAGTGGGCTCCGATCGTGCCTCACCCACTAACCCTGTGCCCAGGGACAAAGTGTTTACCTTCCGATTCTTACTGTCAACTGAGCCGTGACAGTCTGTCCTAGACCAGGGGAGGTGGGCGTGGGGAGGGAGGGAGACCCGTGAGCTGACTACTCGCTCTGCTCTCTGCATTCACCTGTGGGTTGTTCCTGCGGCGCCCCAGGTGGGCCTGATGGGCACGACCACGCCTCCCCGATGGGGACAGCCTCCGTGTTACTGGCTGAAACCCCCATGGGATCCGGAGAGACCACCTGGAAAAGGTGAGACTGGGGAACCTCTTTCCTCCTCCAGAAAGGAGCTACTGAAGGGGTGATCTGAATTCGAAATTTCCAACCGCCCGCTTTTTGCTTTTCCACTCCCTCAGAGGCGGGCCTTCCTCATGACACCTCAGAGTCTTCTTCTGACAAGACTCCATGTCGCGGTGACACGGCACGTTTCTAATGGCTTTGCCATGCTTGCCCACAAAGGCGTTCTACCTGGGCAGGGAGTCAACAGTAACTGACAACAGTGGCAGAAATGGCAGGTGTCCCGTACCGAGGGCCTGGGGCGTACAGTGTGGCTGCGTCTCTACCACTACCAACTGCTACCATTTCCTCCCTTTTGTAGACACAAAAGCCAGGCGCTCACAGGCCTGACTGACTTGGCCAAGCAAAGCCATCTTACTAACCGCAGGGCTGGCACATGCGCCATGGTCTGGCTGATTCCAAAGCCTGTTCTTCCTACTTCTACTTCATCAGGAGGCCTCTGGTCCGCACGCTGAAGGCATCAGGGACTCTGGGCAATGTTGCTGATTTTCAATTTCTTCTTATCACCATCCCGCAGAACAAATACCTTTCCACGAGGCCTTATGTTTTTTTTTTTTGTTTTTTGTTTTTGTTTTTTTTTTGAGAGGTTTTTTTGCTATAGGGCGCGTGCACTCACCAGAAAGACAGAGAGAGATAGAGAGACAGAAAGTGAGAAATCACCCCCAAGGGGGGATGGCCACGCCGCAATCCCTTCTCCTCCATTCTCCTCTTGGGATCTTGGGCACGCACGCACATGCACCCGGTGTGAGTTTAAGCCACCAGGTCTGGGACAGTCTGCAAGGCTGACCTCCCTGGGAAGTTCCCAGGTTTGTACCCGAGGCCTCCCTCCCTGAATTTACCAGGTATGCATATGCCCACGATCCAGAGCTAGCCAAGGCTAGGTGGGGCATGGGGACCCTGCTAGGAGTGCTGTCAATCTCTTCTGTCTCTCTTCCTCATGGAAGAAATAACTAAACTTGAATAAAATAAAATAAAATAAAATAAAATAAAATAAAATAAAATAAAATAAAGCTCTCCTGGAGCTGACAGGTGGCATTGTAGTTAGGGTGGCAGATTCCCACATGGTCAACTACAGTTTGAGTCCTGGACCCAGTGGCTTTAAAATCCCACCAGGGGGACCAGCAGATGGCTTAGTGGTTATGTCACTGGACTCCCACACAGCCAACCACAGTTCAAATGCCAGACACAGTGGCTTGAAACTCATTCCAGGCACCTGAGCATGCATGCCCAAAATCGCGAGAGGAGAATAGAGAAGGGATTGCAGCATGGTCATCCCCAGGGGTGATTTCTCACTTTCTGTCTCTGTCTCTCTTTGTCTCTCAGGTGAGTGCATGTGCCCTATAGTAAAAATCTCTCTACAAGGAAAAAAGAAATAAAGGAAAACATGTCAGGTGTGTGCATCTGTTCGAAATTCCGAGAGGAGAATGGAGAAGGGACTGCAGCATGGCCATCTCCCATTGGGGGGGGGGTGAGAAATCACCCTCCTCCCATCTCTCTCCAGCAATCACATGCACCTATGGCAAAAATCAATCAATCGATCAATCAATACAGCTCTCTTACTGCCATTCCAGCTGGAGGACGAGGAGAGTAGAAGTGAGGTGGACTGGATGGTGGATCGGTAAAGCAGCCCCACATCCCTTCCCCCTCGCCCCGAAGAGATCAGGTCCGGCACTGTAACTTCACGTCCCAGTCACTAACCTGGTGGGGTACAAGCCCAAGAGAGGTCGGAGGCTCGCTCATGCGGTCGTCACTGCTGCTGGCGATGGCGTAGCCCCTGAGGAAAGGACACGTCAGAGCTGCTCATTCAACCAACACAACCGTTTAGCACATGGGGGCATGGTCTGGGGGGCGGCGGTGTCAGATTTGTAAGGTAACCGAACGCCCCCTGCCAGGCAGCACAAGTGAGCAGAATGAAGTTCCCGGGGAAGGAAAGCGGGAGAGTAAAAGGCCTGATTTGGAACGGAAAGACCAGAGCTTGTGACCACAGGCAAGTGAGCTTTTCTATGCCTCAAGTCCACCATCTATAAAACAGGAATAAGGAGGTCGTGATGAGTTAAGAATAGGTTAGCTAAAATCTGAGTGCAGGGCCAGCAGGGGGCGTGGTGGCTAACAGTGCGAGACTCCCACATGGCCTGAACCGAACAGCTTGCGTTCTCACTTTCTCTCTCTCTCTCTCTCTCTCTCTCTCTCTCTGGTGAGTACATGTGCCCTATAGCAAATTTTTTTAAATTAAAAAAAAAAAAGATAAATAAAATTAGATAAATACTTCTTAAAAAAAATGCTAAATGCAATGTTTGGCACATGGCAAGCCAGATATTAATCTTTTCAAAGATTCAAGAAGACCAAAAAAAATCACAGTTTTCATAGAGAATAAGAAATGTGTAAAATAAGATCAAGTGGAAATTCTAGACCTGAAACAGACAATAATGAAGTTAAAAACTGATTTTTTTTTTTGAGAAATATTTTTGCAGTACAGTGCACGTACTTGCCGGAGAGATAGAGAGAGACAGAAAGCGAGAAATCACCCCCCACCCCAGGAGATTGGCCACACCGCAATCCCTTCTCCCCCAGTCTCCTCTCAGGATTTTGGGTATGCTTGCACACACGCCCGGTGTGAGCTTCAAGCCATTGGGTCTGGGACTCAAACCGTGGTCAACTACCTGGGAGTCCAGCAATGCAACCATTACGCCATCTGCTGGTTCCAAAATATCCAATGCCTTTAATACACATTAGATATAGAAGAAGTATCAAGAAACAAAATGTACCAACTACATGACCATAATATCTTTGGGAGGGGGCTTAAACTGTATTTATCTAATTGGCAAAAATGAGTGTGCAGACATTGCCAGTTGCCTACCTTCTCCTCTTCGACCTTAGCACAATCGTACTCAGAGAAGAACGGAATTAGAATCAATGGATGAGTCTTCTGGGAAAGTCCCTTAAAAGGGCGCAGGGGCTCCATGACACAGCGGTAAAGGGCTGCTCAAGAGAACAGGTTCCACAGGACAGCCACTGTTTGAATCCCTAGTCTGGTCAGCCTGAGAAACAGTGGGCCCAAGTGTGAGTGCCTAGGATCGGATGGGCTGGAGGGCTGGAGGGGGATCATGGTGTGACCAGACTGTGCAGGAAGCTCAGCTCTGTCTCTCTCTCTCTCATCACACATGCACATCCTGGGGTTATTCTTTTCTTCTAAACTCTAACATAGAATATTGGAGGTCAGGGGCCAGCAGGTGGAGTGGTGGTTAAGGCACTGGACTCCTACATGGCCGACAATGGTTGTGTCCCAGACCTGGTGGCTTGCTTTCTCGTTTTCCTTCCTTCTCTCTCTGTCTCTCTCTGATGAATGCATGTGCCCTATAGCAAATAAAATAAATAAATGAGGGACCAGCAGTTAGCGTAATGGCTATGTCCCTGGACTCCCACGTAGTCGACCACGGTTCTAGTCTTGGACTCGGTGGCTTAAACTCAAGCCAGGCGTGTGTGCGTGTGTGCCCAAGATCCAGAGAGGAGAATGGAGAAGGGATTGCGGCGTGGCCACCCCCCTGGGGGGTGATTTCTTGCTTTCTGTCTCTTGTCTCTGTCTGTCTGGCGAGAACATGCGCCCTATAACAAAAACCTCTCCAAAAAAAGATAATTAATTAATTAATTAATTAATCAATTTTAAAATAAAGAATATAGGTCAAGTAGCCACCTTGTGACCATGAGGTGACAAGCATAAGGAAGAGAGCCAAGAGTGGCTAAGTAAAGATAAGAAGGAGCCCAAGTCTGAGGGCAAACGAAGGCCTTTATACCAGCTCCGCGTGCTTCCTCTGAACTTGCTGCAGAGGAGAGAAACGCCTTTTCTGCCAGTCACTGAGGATGAGTCTCTGCTAGATCAGGCTCCAACATAGAGGACGCACGTATCACCTCGCAAACGTCCAGGGCTAAGATGACCACTTGCTGGCAGAAGAAAAGCATGGAGGCCATAAGACCCCACCCAAATGTTTACTCCTTCTCATATCCAGTCTCCGAATCACTCTAGGATTCAACTCCGGAAGGATGCAGAGATGCGGCCCAAAGCTGGCATGGTGAGTTCTTTCTGGCCAAAGAACCAGACCCAGTTTTGTCAGTCTGTTTTTTTTTTTTTTTCCTATAGAATAATTTTATTTAACTTTATTTATTTACTTTAATTTGACCAGAGAGGGTCAGAAGAGAGAGAGAGAGAGAGAAAGAAAGAAAGAGAAAGTGAGAAAGCAAGCCGCCAGGTCCAGGACTCAACCCACCATCGGCCATGAGGGAGTCCAGTGCCCTTAACTACCACGCCATCTGTCAGCCCCCCAGTCTGGTCTTCTTGAGGGAAGAAAGAGCAATCCTTCTCAGAAGAGCCAGCCTGAGGAAGGGCCCAGAAAATGCTGATGAACAAGTGTCTACCACAGCTTTCTGTTCAAACACCGCCTCCTAGTGGCCAACTCACCCTTCCGGATGCTGCAGAACGGACACCATCAGCTCCACCGCCAGGGCTCCTGCGATCACGGCCAGGCCTGGACGGCTCACTGTGCACTGCTGGTCCAAGGTCCGGTCTCTGGTGGACTGCAGAGAGGCAATCACCCACGTGGGCTGAGAGTGCTACTCCATCAACTGTCTCAAGCATGCGCTCTTCCATGATCATGTCTTAAGATATAACCACATGCTCACTACTGGCAAAGAACAACCTGCCTGGGGCTGGCATGTGGCATAGTGGGTAAGGCTCTGGATTTCCATATGGCCAGCTGCAGTTCAAGTCCCGCCCCTGGGGGCCTGCTTTCTCACTTTTTCTTTCTCTCTCTGATCAAATTTAAAAATAATAATATGCAATTGGCATAATGGCTATGTTGCCGGACTCCCACGCAGTCGACCACAGTTCAAGTCCTGGGCCCAGTTGCTTAAACTTATGTCAGGTGCGTGTGCGTGCATGCCCAAGATCCCGAGAGGAGAATGGAGGAGAAGGGACTGCGGCATGGCCATCTCCCCTAGGGGGTGATTTCTCGCTTTCTGTCTCTCTCTGTCTGTCTAGTGATCACACGCATCCTATAGCAAAAATCTCTCAAAAAAAAAGAAAAGAAAAGAATAAAATTTTTTAAATAATTCTTTAAAAAATAGACAAATAAAAAACATCTAGCTGCAGATGATATTGCTTCTTGGGATTATCAAGAAAAGTAACATAAGCAACTGAGGTAACTAAGTGAGACAATATGCAAAAAAAAAAAAACCCAAAAAACCAAAAAGCCAACCAAGAAACCCCCCAAGAAAACCAAAACAAACAAACAAACAAACAAACAAAACAACAAAAACAACAGAGGCTTAAACATGTAAAGATCGGGGGCTGCCAGTCAAACACGAGGCCTCAGCTGCTTCAGACAACGGAGCTGCCCACGTGCTCCTTCAACTGACTCAGCTCAGCTCTCCTCAACAGGCTCAGTAGTGAAGAGACAGAGACCAGCGGAAAAGAGCAATCCGATGAAGTGTGAACGATTCTGCCCTGCTCGTCCGAGACCGAGTCTCAGAGTGACTGAGGGGAGGGCCATCATCTGCCATGCTCGCCGACCTCAGTTCCCATGTGCCTTTCACAACGTGGGCATCACGTCACCCCGACGGTGGACCCAGGGCCTCCGATTCCTGCTCCTGCATGTCTCCACACACAGCCTGCATCAGGAAAAGGAATTCTGACCTTCAGCTCTGGGAAAATTAGGGGTTGTCAGGGAGCATTTTGACCTCTATGTACATTTCACCTTAGGAACAGATTTTTTAAAAAGAATTCTTTAATTTAATTAGTTAATTTATTTAAATTTGTTATAGGGCACACGCGCTCATCAGAGACAGAGAGAGAAAGTAAGAGAGCAAGTCACCAGGTCTGGGAATTGAACTGTGGTCAGCCATGTGGGAGTCCAGCAACTTAACTACCACGCCAGTTGCTGGCTCCAGGACAGATGCTTCTTTAATATGACAGGCCTTTAATCCTGCTTGTTGGCCATAACTAAATAACAGGGCCAGTGATAAAACGTAACACCATGACGGAGATCCTTAAGTCATCCTTCCTCACTTAAGAGAATGGCTGTCTTCTCTTCTTCACATTGGAGAGGCATAAAATCCAGTCATCCAAAACAAGTCTACATTATTAAGAAACTATTTTTATTTAGAGACTTTCCCTATAGGGCACATACACTTGCTAGAGAGAGAGCGAGACAGAAAGCGAGAAATCATCCCTCAGGGGGATGGCCACGCTGCAATCCCTTCTCCTCTATTCTCTCGGGATTCTGGGCACGCACATGCGCCTGGTGTGAGTTTTAAGCCACCAGGTCTGTACTGAACTGTGGTCGACTACATGGGAGCTCAGCAACGCAACCATGACACCATTTGCTGGTCCCAAGAAACCAGTTTTTAAAGAAGGGAAACAGGAACAGAAGACGTCTCTGCTGTGGGTCACTAGAAAGTGTCACCTGTTCTGATAAAAGACCATTCCTAGAGACTGACTTGTGTGTCATTAACAATACAGACTCTGGGACCAGCAGGAGGTGGGTGGGTAAGGTGCTGGACTCCCACACAGCCAACCGCAGTTTGGGTCTCACAGTCTCAACCTGGAGGCTTGAAAAATCACATGGGGCGCGTATGCATGCACAGCCCAAATCCCGAGAGGAGAGTGGAGGAGAACGGATCGCAGCATGGCCATCCTCTGCAGGGGTGATGTTGCACTTTCCCTCTGTTTCTCCCTGTCTGTCTCCAGCAAGCACATACACCCTATGGTAAAAACCTTAAAAACGTATACAGAGAGGACCTGCCATCTCTACAATGTGGTCGTGCTGTTCAAAGCACACTCTTACGTGACCCACTTTTCCCTTCCCCATCAGGGCCGGTCACCCCATCAGCTACAAGATGTGCAGTTAAACGTGCATTTCAGATAAACAACAAATACTTTTTAGTATAAGACCTCAGATATTACCTGGGACATACTTACACTAAAAAGTGACTCCTTATTTACCCAATATTCAGAGTTAGCAGAGAATCCTGTATTTAACTAGCTAAATCCGACAAGTCTATGCTCCGCTCCCATTCTACAGAAGTACAGGGGGCTTCAGAGGCTCCTTTGGAATGACCCGTGACGCATCAAGGCCTGGACAGGAATTGGGTCTTCAGACTCCTCGTTTTTAATGCCGTCTTTACTAAAACAAGCCCTGCGACAACGCCGAGTGTTCTAGGGCCAGCCGACGCTGCAGTGTCCTGCCTGAGCTTCTCCCGGAAACAGTTTGGCTGTGTTTATATCGGTGAGTGAGAAACAGCTGCAGGGTTGACGAGGCCAGGCCAGGCTCACGGTGGCACAACACCCTCCCCCCCCGAAATGAGAGCTGTTTTCTTTTTGTACAGGACAATTTAAACATCATCAGTGAACGAGCTGGTCTCTGCACAAGTGGGTCGCTGGAAATATTTAGAACCACAGAGAGATCTACTTACATCTCCTGGGGCCACCACGTCATTGCAGAAGTAGCAGCCGAGTTTATAACCGGGGATGTTGGCAAACAGCGATGAGCCCAGGAGGTCGGCGGATGTCACAGGGTGGCTCGGACACAAGTCCCCAGCTCCCTGCTGCTTTGGCTTCTTTAGGCCATGTCTCATGACAACAAAGGTGTCGAATCCCAAGGCAGCATTGATGACCAGCTAAAAGTTCCAAAGAACAAAACAGCATTAAGAGATGTGTGTGTATGTGTATAAATTTATATAAATATATTTATGTATTATTTTTTTAAGAGGTTTTTGCCTTAGGGTGCATGAGCTTGCTGAGGGGAGAGCGAGACAGAGACAGAGATGGTGAGAGGGGAAGTGAGAAATCACTCCCTAAAGGGGTGGCCACACTGCAATCCCTTTGCCTCCATTCTCCTCCCAGGATCTTGGGGCACGCACATACATGCACCTGGTCTGAGTCTCAAGCCACTGGATCTGGTAGTCAAACCATGGCTACCGTGTGGGAGTCCAGCGATGTAACTGCTCCACCACCTGCTGGCTCCAACATATATTATATTTTAAGCTGTGGCTCATTTCATATTTGACAAACGCCCTAAAATTTCATTTTTGCATTTGATTATAATCAGGTACTAAAAGCTGATGATGGTAAAAAGCTAATCAATACCGAGGCCTTAATAAACAAAAAAGGCTTGATACATGATTAACATAAATTATCTCATTTAATTTTGTTTAAAACTTCCAACAAACAGGGACCAGCAGTTGGTGTAATTGCTATGTCACTGGACTCCCATGTAATCGACCGTGGTTTGAGTCCTGGACCCGGTGGCTTATACTCACGCTGGGTGCGTGTGCATGCGTGCCCAAGATCCCAAGAGGAGAATGGAGGAGAAGGGATTGCGGCATGGCCATCACCCCTGGGGGGTGATTTCTCGCTTTCTATCTCTCTGTCTCTGTCTGTCTGGCGAGCGCACGCACCCTATAGCAAAAATCTCTCTATTAAAAAAAATAAACTCTGAACAAACAATTCTCATTTATAGATAAGGGTATTGAAAATCAAGAGAAGTTGGTTCTATCACTTACCCCAGGCCGTTTAACTGGTAAGAGGTAGGTGTATAAACCAACACGCCATAGTTCTCAAACCCATCCTTTCTATCACTTTACTACACTTCATCAGGTCCAATTTTTTTTTTTTTTTTTTTTTGCCAGAGAGTACATACTAAAGAGAAAGAAACAGAGAACCCCCATAGGGCCTGGTCATACCACAATACAATTTCCCAGTTCTCCATCCCATCAGGATGCTGGGCTCACATGCACAAGTACCCAGTGTGTTTCTCAAGCCAGCTAGGCTAGGACTTGAACTGCAGTCAGCCACGTGGGAACTGGCACCCTATGCACAGTGCTTAACCACCGTGCAACAGGGCAGCCCGGATTTTGGTTTGTAACAGAGTTACTGAGATGTGATTCACACGCTGAACAAGTGACCCTCCACGTAGATTTTTCTTTTCTTTAAATATGAAAGTAAGTAGTGTTGCTATAGTTTTGTTTTACTTTGTTTTGTCTTGTTTTTTTTTTTTAAGAGAGATCTTTGCTGTAGGGCCAGTATACTCAGCAGAGAGACACAGAGAGATGAACAGAAAGCGAGAAATCACCCCCCCGGGGGGATGGCCACGCCGCAATCCCTTCTCCTCCATTCTCCTCTCGGGATCTTGGGCACACATGAACATGCACCCGGTATGTTTCAAGCCTTTGGGTCCCACACACTCTACCTTTCTCTTGCTGGCAGCAATGACGGTGGGAAGCCACCGGCTCTCCCTGGTGTCCATCAACAGAAAAATGACATCATGGCTTTCGATGAGCTGCTCCAGCTGCTCCACATCCCTGCGGGCCTGCTCCAGGGTGAGGCTGGAGAAACTCACTGGGTGCCCGGGCATGGGGATGCTCATGTTGTACCCTCTGGCGTTCTGGAGCGACAGGAGAAAGCAGAGGTTCAGGCATGTCAGACCCCACACTCCCACACAGCCAATGGCTCACACGCAGGGCCACTCACACCCAGGAACGTCTCTGGTGATTACGCTGCCCTCTCTCCCCTTACCATGTGCTCCGCCTTCTTCACCTCTGCAGCTGCTCTCGGCCCATCCTCCTGAGCCAGGATACAGAGGCAAGCAGAGACACAGAAATCACAGCTGCTTCCCCCTCCCCGGGCCATGAGGGAACTGCATGTCTCTGCTCCTCCTACCCCTGCAGGCCATGCCACTCTGTCACGGGACCCTCTGCATGCCCAAGGGCCCTCTTTCCAGCCGGGCATCTCTCCCTACTTGCTTCCACATCGCCTCTGCCCCCATCTGGGTCAGGCCTACCTATCTGTTTGTTTTAAATTAAGTAATTAATTGATGACTATTACTTTTAAAGTTTGCCATAGGGCACATGTGCTCACCAGAGAGACACAGAGAGAGAGAGGGAGAATGTAAGCCACCATGTTTGGGACTTGAACCGTGGACAGCAACGTTTAAGTCCAACATCTCAACCCCACCACGCCACTTGCCAGCCCTGGGCCTACTTGTTATATCCTCTCATGGCTACTGAGCTTCTGCCTCATGCACTTACTGTAGTTAAAATGGTTTGTGGAGTTATTTGTAAAAGACCCTCTCCTTTACTAGACTGTAAGTTCCATGTGGGGGGGAGAGTCATGTTTGTCTAGTTGCCCTGTCCCTAGCACACAGTAGGCCTTAAATAAATATCTCATGAGTAAGTAATAGATACCTGGACAAATAAGCAGGGGCAATTGCATTAGGTCACAGACTAGGATTTGGGTAAGCAAAAATCTCAGGCAGTTAAGTGGCAGCTCAGGTTCAAAGCCAGGTCTGCCTAGGCCCTCTGGGGGCTCCTAATGCTCTCTAGTGATAGAGCGGATTCTTCTTCCCAACTCCGCACTTCCCCCTTGAGTGGAACCATGCCACACGACTTTGCAGGATCTCCTGCTAGGGAGGTGCAGTATACCGGCCAGCCCCACTGACTTTGGGCTTGGACCTGTGGCTGTTTGGCGATGGAAACGGAAGACACTGTACAGGGCCACTGCTGAGCGGGGACTTTGAGAGGCAGGGTAACTGTCGACCCTTCGACCATGAGAGGACCCGGCTGCCTATTCCTTGGTCAGGCTAGTTTTTTTTTCCTCCTTTTTTTTTTTGAAGAGGTGTTTTTTCTAATTTTTTTTTTTTTTTTTTTTTTTTTTTTTTTTATAGGGGCA